GCCCAGCCGCTTAGTCAGCTATGGCATGGAGGGGGCCTCTGCATCTGAAATCTTCCAGCCCTCCTGCCCCCTTGGCTAGTTATATTTGTCTTGGCTACCTTCACCCGGGCTTTTTAAAGGCAGATTTTCCTCCCCCCCCCTCACTTCCCCCAGCAGCTGGCCTCAGCCGTACGGCACACAGAGTGAGGCTTGTTTGGGAAGAGTGACAAAACCTTGTTCTAGGCAGCAGCCCACCGTGTCTGATTCCACCACTCCAGCTTGCTCCTGAGGCCGCAGTGAACAGCCGTGATAGGAGGAGGGCAGGAGTCAGGACCTAGTACCAGGGTAGGGCATTCCATTAAGCAGAACAGATGGTGGGGCAGCCTGTAGCTGCCATACGCATCCCGAGACAAACGCATGTGGAAGACAACAGCCGAGTCTAGTCCCCAACAGGAGGGACATGAGGGGACAGAGGAAGTTCAGTGACAGGAGCCTCCCCCCAGGAGGACCTACACCCAAGCCTACCTCTGCTGCAGGGCCCGAGTAGCTCCTAATCTCTAACTCGGGGTGAAAATAAAATTGGGCTTTTTTCTTGCTAAGGGCCTGGACATTTTGAGCCACGTTCCAGTTTAAAAATCTATGACTTCATAGTTGTTGTTGTTTTAAACATCAATAAAAGGTTATTTGTGTGAAAACATAACATTGACTTACCGAGGCGTGCCAAGACTGGGGTGGTGTCAGGGGTTGGGGGGGGGGGGAATGCTCCCTGGTGATTTTCAGACCCAAAGTAAGGATCCATCTACTTTTAACTCATAACCAGTCTTCCTTGGGAGGGGGTAGCCTGGTTAGGGATGAAAGGTTCCCCTCCTAGGACCCTCCCAGGAACACAAGGAACAGGCAGTCCACAGACCTCTAGTGTCAGGTATTCTGACCCTCGTGTGGCTCTGCAAAGGGCACCCCAGCCCCTGACCCTTGCCTGGCCAGACAGTTCATGGGCCAGTCTAGGTGGCCAGGCTTGCCCTCTGCCCTGAGAGTGAGTCAAGCTCACAGCTTCCCAACTCAGGCTCAGGAAGCTACATGCTAACGAGAGGTAGATGTCTAGCGCCCAGTAGAGGAAGGGCTGCACCTGCACCCCAAGCTGCCCAGTGCACTTAGGGCACCATAGAAAAAGCTGCTTCCCAAGCTCATTCTACCCTACATCCCTCCTGGTCCACCAGTTCTGCATAGGTCCCTGCTCTTGGCTGTGGGCTCGGATTGATTGACCAGACACCCCAGCTGTGGTCCCCACAGCTTAGCAGTGTTGACTCTGACTTGAACCAAAAGATCCTGGCTCTTTGCCCTTGCTGTTGACATCCTGTGTCCTCATCAAGTTATGCTGTCCCTCTCATTTTTCAATTGGTCATAACAAACTGCCCCTCCCATTATTTGATACTCAACCTCTACTCTGTTTTCATGAGAGTCACCATCTATAACGTTGCCATGGAAGCTGGATTAGTAAATACAGATCCATCACTCCTAGGAGAAATATGTGATTAGTTGACTGTGAGCCACTGGTCACATTTCCTCAATGGATCAGTGTGTAACCTTGTATGTTACTATTTAAAGACAATAGGCTTTATACATAGTTAACTTTGAACTAAGGCCAACAGTACTAGAACTCATGCTGAATAAAGCTTGTCAGACACACAGGGTTCTTGCTTGTTTGTCTTCTGTAAGGCACATTCTAGATGACAAACACTAAGAGACCCAAGCAATCCTCCAGTGTTATGTCCTGGGGCCATTTTAAACAGCAAACATAGCAACACAAAGCACAAAATGTAAGACAGTGTGACATTCAACAGGCCATGGAAAGACCTCCTGTCTATCATACGAGAGCTGACTGGAGGACAGCTGCCTGGCTCAGTCCTAGAGAAACAGATGAGTTGGGTCAATACGATGTTTCCTAGCTTCACATGTGCCTGTGAATGGCTGCAAAATGTACTTCAGGTGTTGATTTGGGGGTTACAAATTTTAGCAGTAGGCAAATTTGCAAAAATGCAATCTGTAATACTGACAACCAAATGCACCATCTTCTCTTCCTTCAACAAACCATCTGAGTCGTATCCGCACCCCCCTGCCCCCAGCCATCTCCCACCTCCAGGCCATCTGGTCTCAACTTGTTCACATAACTCGTGTTCATTGAGCATCAAGTACATGTCAGTCACTGTGCTTAGAGTTCAGAGCAGTGTTGACATGCACTTTCCATGTTGTGAGACATACATGCTCTACTCCAACAACTTAACTCTGCCACCGTGGCTCAAAAACATCAAGATAGCCATGAGTGGTAGCTCATGCCCATGATCCCGGCACTCAGGAGGTAAGGCTGGAGCACATTGAGGGTGTAGGTTGAGTACAGCCTGGGCTACATAGTAATACCCTGTCTCATAAAAATAATTAAAAAAAAAGAACAGCTACAGATAGTCATGTTCTTGTATGTGAGATGTTACATGACATATCACCCCCAATCTGGAAGAACCCTCTCTCCCACCGCACCCCATCCTGTCCCTGTCTTCCTAGGATCCTCAGTATATTCTTTCCATTCTCATCTAACTCCACTAGAAATCTCCCCTACCAGCTGCTCAGGACCCAACAGCAGGGAGCATCCTGACTAATGCAGAATTCTGTCAGTTTGCTAGATGGTCAAATATGTACACAAATCAACGTCCCATACCCAGGACAACATAGCACCCATCTTCATTCCCACACAATTCCGTGGCTGTATTTAAAGACAGACACCTCTGGGGCCCTGTCTGCAGGCAACTCCTAAATCACAGCAACTTCTTTTGGGATGGAGTATGTGCTTGGAAGGCTCAGAAGCATCGCGGATGTACATTTTAGACAATAAAGGGGATTGCGTCTTGTTTCCTCCTCCACTTCCCTCTCTTCTCTGTCCCCCAACTTCTCTCTCCTCAGGAAAAGTGAGGTGTCAGAAGTTTCTCGAGGGTTGCCTCTCAGCTAGAGCTTCTTAGAACACAGTAGTAAAGGCTCTTGCTGTGTAAGTTTTTCACTCCAGCGTTCCTGCACTCACGGCACATACCCAGTGAAGTGCACAGCCTCTTGAATTTGGCTGGAGATGATCCCCAAGGTTGTACAAATAGGTGGCTTTAGATCCAGAGGACAAGAAGTCCCATGGGGCCCATCACAGAGACAAAGCAGTTGTAGTCTAGGGGAAGAAATATGTGGTGGTGATCCAAGTGAGTTAGGAGAGAATAAATTCCCAGCCCCCTTAAACGATGCTAAGCTGTGCTTCTGTAGTTATTGGTGACCCTGGTCTTGAGTCCCGTGACTCTGACCCCTGGAAGTGTGTGTGCACACAAGCACGTACAAACAGGGCCTCATTATTTGCACCTCCCAAGTCCTTTTGGGGCTTCTTCTCAGTGTGTCACTTCTATCTGCTAAGTCTCCACCCAATAAGGAAACTTTGAGAAAATCTGGGACTCCAGGATCATGGGGGAACTTAGCATAGTTTGGTGTGAAGATGAATCACCTTTCACACTTGCTTATGAGTTTTCTGAAGCTTCATACCAAATGTAGCATCATGCCACTCTTCGAGACTGAGTCTACAATGGGGTACTCCAAGGAGACTAGGCCAATACTATGCAGGGGGAGTAAACCAGGATGCTAAGGCTTCAGAACAGATAGGAATGGTCCATGAGGGTACCACACATGACTCCAGACTCTAGGGGAACAAAAGGTAAAAATCACTCAAAGGTCAGGTGAGCACTGAAGTTTACAATAGTCAAGTCTTTTAAAAATGAAGTGTTGGACAGGCCCTAGGTGGCATGAGGGGGAACAAACCCAGGTAGCCCTGAGCTAGGAAGATACAGCTGTGTGACCACGTTCCGGTAGCCTTGTCAGGACTACTAACTAGATACAGCTTTATGCTGTGGTTGGCATATAGTGAGTCTCCAAAACCTTATCAACAACAGTGCTGATGACGATAGAATTCTTTTAGCCCTCTGGAAAAAGATAAATACCGACTCCAGTTTTCATGCTAGCAGCATCTTTTCCTAGCAATTACAATTGTCTTAGCTACAAAATGAAATGGTTCAGGCCAATCTGGTCCTTAAGGTTATTTCTAGAGCTATCGTAAACTCTAGGATCAGGAGTTTATACATTCTAATAGTGGACAGAAAATAGCTCTTGGTCATGGAAAATTCTGTTTGTCTGAGCCCACATAAAGCAGAAATGGGAACAACACAGCCAATATGTAGATGAGTCTCATTACTCTGAAGTTTTCCTAGTTGGTACCAACCTCCTTTTACAGTGATGCAGCTGTGCCCAGCATAAGGACTATACCTTACCATGGCTGGGAAAATGTCTGAGTTAGTGAAGTGCTTGTTATGCAAACATGAGGAGCTAAGTTCAGATGCCCAGCACCCTAATACAATTGATGAGTGTGGCATGTTTCCAAAATCCTAGCACTGGGGAGGGGGAGACATGAGGATCCCTGGAGTTTGCTGTCCAGTTAACCTTGTTGATTGGTGAGTTTCAGGTTAAGCACACACATGAACACGTACACACGAACACACACACCTTTGCCTGATCAAAGGCCCCTCTCCCAGTGGTGGCCAACTCTTGTGACTTTTGTCATTACCCACTAGCCTTTCTTCATGTAACAGGAGCAAAGCACCACATGTACTTTGTCTCTGTCTTCCTTTCCTCGATGTTTTTAAGACCCTCCCCATTTTTATTTGTTCTTTGAGAATTCCATAGAATGTATTTTGATCATATTCACTCCTCCCCCATTCCTTTCAGATATACTCCCATCTACTAATAATTTGCTCTCATTACTGAGAATTATTTCATTATATAAATGTATTAAATTTTGTTTATTCATTTCCAAGCATTTGAGTTGTTTTAAGTTTGGAGATATCATAAATAAATCTGCTATGATTTACAGCAAAACTCCCACTGTTATTCAGCAGACAAACTGTCTTGTAATAGATGATACTGGTGTAATTAGATGTTTACTCAGAGCAAAGTTTTGATGTTTTTATTAGTCAGGGCTCTCTAGAGGAACAGAATTTATATAATGAAGAAAGAAAGTAAGGGGAGACACATTAGAATGGATTGTATTCTGTGGTCCACCTTGAACAACAACAGTTGACTGTCCACCAGCAGAAGGTCCAAAAATCCAGGAGTTTTTCCGTCCACGGGGCTGGATGTCTCAGCTGGTCTTCATTAGGCTCTGGAATCCTGAAGAAGTAGGTGCTAATGTCAGTGAAGAAAGGGGCTTGCCAGCAAGAGTAAGAGACAGCAAGCATTCCTCCTCCATGTCCTCTATACAGGCTGCCAGCAGAAGGTGTGGCCCAGATTCAAGACGGGTCTTCCCCCCTCAGAGATCTGGATTAGAAATGGGTCTTCCCAAGAATGACACCAACTGGTATTAAGGCTACCTTAAATGCCCTCCTATGATAATGAGAATGATGACTACCTTGTATGCCGTCCTAGAATCCTCATCCAATGGCTGATGGAGGCAGAGGCAGACACCCACAGCTGTGAACTGAATTGAACTCCTGGAACCCAGTTGCAAAGAAGAGTGATGACCAAAGGAATCAAGATCAGGCTGGCAAACCCACAGAGGCAGCTGACCTAGACAAGGGGGAACACATGGACCCCAGACTGATGACTGAGGGGCCAGCATGGGACTGATCCAGACACCCTCCCACCAAACCTGAGTGACAGAGAGGAGGCCTTGGAAATCTGTGGGACCTTGGAGAGTAGAGCAGTATTTATTCCTGGCATACAGAGGGACTCTGGGAGCCCATACCACGTGGAGGAATGCTCTCTCAGCCTGGATACATGAGGAAGAACCTGGGCCCTTCCCAGGATGATGTGACAGACCCTGAAAATCCCTCATGGAGGCCCTTGCCCTCCCTGGGGAGTGGAGGGAGGGTGGAGTGGAGGTGAGGGGTTGGGAGGATTGGGGGGCGGGGGAGGAGGGGAGGGAGAGGGAACTGAAAGTGACATGCGTAAAAAGTTAAATAAAAAATATAGGAAAAAAAAAGAAATGGGTCTTCCCACTTCAAATGATTTAATTAAGGAAAAAGTCCCTCACAGTTGCATCCAGCCATTGCATTTAGTTAATTCTAGATGCAATGAAGTTGATAATCAAGGATAACCATTGCAATGTTTGTCTCAAACTTAAACATCACAGACACACACACACACACACACACACACACACAAATAAATAATCTTAAATGGATTACAAGCTTTTCAAAGAAAACATAGGAAAAAATGTCTCCATGATCTTGAGAAGAGCAAGAATTCTTAAATGAAAGGAAGGCGTTAGTCACCAGAAATAAGACATAAAAGACATCACTAAGAATGTGAACAGAGGGCTGGAGCTGTGGCTCAGGGGGTAACAGAATGAACTGCTCTTGCAGAGCACTCCAGCTCTGTCCCCAGCACCCACGTAAGGTGGCTCACAGATGCCTGCAGCTCTAGCCCCAGGGGACCTGACACCCTCTGATCTCCATGGGTACTAGTACTCAGGAGTACATACCCTCCCCCCACACAGACACATGACAACAGCAATAGTAAGGGATAGCCAAATGCTTTCTATCATATTTACCTCTAGCTGTCAATTTGAAATAAACCTAGAGTCACCTGGGGAAAGGGGCCCTCAACAGAAGAACTGCCCTGATCAGTTTGGCCTGTGACACGTCTGTGAGGCATCTTCTTAATTGTTAATTGATGTACGAAGCCCCGGGCGTTCAACTCAGTGGTTCTAGTCCTAGGCAGGAGGGGCTGGGCTGTGTAAGAAAGGCAGCCGAACAAACTAGAGGTAGTAAGTATTAGTTTCTACTTCAAGCTCCTGCCTTGACTTCCTTCAATAATGGACGGAACCTGTAAGATGAAATGAACACTTTTCTCCACAAGTTAATTTACTTATGGCTTTTATCACAGCAACAGAACATAAATCAGAACAGCTACTAAGACAGAAAAAATATTCAACATTATTGTTGAATGTTGTTGAAGTACAATGAGACATTACCACATACCCAACAGAAAGATTGTAATTAAAATGGCTGACTCTGATGAGTGAAAGGGTAAAATGGTTCAATCACATTGGGTTTATAAGCAACAGGAAGGAGACTGGTTATTTAAAAAAAGTATGTACACAAATGTCAATAGCAGATTTATTCAAAGTATGGGACACACTTTAATCCAGATAAAATTAAAATGTAATCTTCTAAGATTCCAACCCAGCCAGCATCGAAAAGGGCTACACAGAGGGCTTCATGCTTCAGTTCGAGAGATTGCTAACATTTGGAAGAAGCAAGTTAGACCTGAATGGACACTGTTTTTCAACGAACCTGGAAATGGAGGTGGGACTTCCAGTTCTAAGCTTGTGAGTCATGCTTAGCTCTATTTGCGTATGAGCATAACAGCCCACTAACTGTGTTTTGGAATTAACTTCTGTGTGATAAACAGTGTTGTTGTGGTGGTGGTGGTGGGGTGTGTGTGTGTATGTGTGTGCGCACTCGTGCATGCGTGTGGTGTTAAAAGGACAGGAAAAAGAAAGACCAGAGTAGAGCCAATGAGATTTTTGAATACTATGGCTTCAGTTCATTGGTCTCAGGCCCTAATGAAGCTGGTTGTACTTATACAGAGCTAGACCTCCACCTGATTTCATTCCTGTCCGTGATGCTCAGCTCTTTCCCCACATATAGTACCAGTGAAGGACAGTGTTTTTGGAATTCTGGAAACTCCTGAGTGGGGAGCATCAAACCCACCCACATTGGCTGTGTGCCTTACACTGCACACCCACCATGACATCTGTTCTAAAAGCAGCAACAGCCTCATTCAAACACAGAATGGAAGGAATGTTTGAGACTAGATCAATAGTCACGGCCCATGGCACTGTGGTTAAGCTCCTACAGGGTCAGGGCACACATGGAGCTTGGTGTCAGTGAGTGACATGAGGCATTTGTGTAAACGTCTACCTCAACCACACACAGCCTGACTGAACTTATACTACTTCCTGATGATATAGGGAATGCCAAAAAAGTCTGTCATTTTTAGTAGGAAGAAGATAGAAAATATCGTCAGGAAAAAATAAGATGTGTTGCTGTTTTACAAGTAAACAGTCCACAGGAAGCCACAAGACTATTTTAAAATCCCTATTGAAAGTCCAGGAAAGATGTAGACTACAGTTCCAAAGAGTGAACTCCTAAAAACTAAACCTGTTGGGCTCAGCTATTGAAGCTACAAACTGTTGTGGAAAGAAAAAATAAACATTTGTAAGCTGGGACATTCACTCAAGCAGACACAGGAACACAGAAGTCCTTGCAAAGAAATAGGTAGTCCCTTCAATTCTGCTGTAAGCACTGTGGTGGTGGAGGGGATTACCCTCAGCACAATTAGATCACATAATGTCCCATCTACGTCCCCCACATTCTCTCCTGTAAGCATCCTAAAATAGAATTCTTCACATAGAAGCACTGATTCTTTTAGCCACATGGTTTCCTGTTTTGACAATGTTCATAGATCAAAACTACAACCCCCTCCCAAGCCATTTGGAAGCCATGGTCCTAACCTCTTGTTGAGACTGAGTTTGGGGGAGGTGATGCAGGATGATGGGGAGTCTAAATTCACAGCTAAGGTGTATCACACACTAGAGTATTAAATGCTTACAGTCAGAGACTGAAGGGAGTATCAGGGAGTGTTTCCAGGAACCCAGTGCCTGGGCTGGGGCTTGGCTCACAAGAAGAGGGAGGACATTACGGGTGGAAGAACCTCCTCCCCTACAAAAGTGCAGAGTGGTGAAAGAGTAGAAGATGGCCAGAAGTGTGGTGATGGGAGGTAGGATAGCGAGGAAAACCAGAGAAGGAGACAGTTGCCTGGTCTCTGGGAGACTTTGATGGCAAGCCCCTAACCACTGAAATTTCACCCTGATGAGTCACATCTAAGTGTGAATGGTCAACTGACCACATGGTTCGCGGGTGCCAAGATTTATCTTTTACTAGCTAGTGATAAGGGGGTTGGTTACACTACCATAAGGGGGTGTCTAGGAAAGGATAATTGTACCTTTCAGAGTATAGAGGGGCTGGCCCTGAACGTAGAGTTAAAGACTTGTCTCTTTCATTTCCAAAGGCAGGAGCATGACATCATGAGGAATATGGAGAAGATTCAGGACTGTAAGATGGTGGAAACAGGAAGACATCTCAAGGTAAGAATGGTTTGAGAGAAATGTCAGGAAACATTACTTTACCCAGGAAACTGCAAACATCTGGAGCTAATCCACTTCAGAGACAGTAGGGAGGCAAATATAGACTCAAAGAGAGTTTTGTTACATTGGTTGGAGGAGAGTCATAGTGATGACTAAGGGAAGCAGAGATGCTGGGATTTATGCCTGAACCTTTGAGGGTGAAATCATAGAGAAGCCCATAACTTCTGGAAGAGCCTTACAGACAAGGTAGAGCAAGGACTGAATGGACTGACCATTCGTTAAAGCCAGCCTGACACCACTTGAGCTTCTCAAACACGCATGACCCTAGTTCTGATAATGATGGGGAAGCCAGGTGCAGAGCAGGAAACTGTGGAGCCCATGCACCCACTCTGTTGGTACAGCCATATCGTGTCTTCTCCTACTGTACTAAGAACTACCAACCATTCTAGTACCAAGGAAGGTCTGTGAACACCCTTGTCCCTAGACTTTAAGCAATATTTCTTCACACAGTTCTCTTGTTTTTTTAACATGGTTATCACTTTAGGGCAATACCCACATAGGAGGCTTCGAGGCCCAGTGACAGAGACAAGGACATGGAAATGGTTAAGAAAAATCTGATGATATTGATGGGGACCAGTAGGAAGTTGAGGACCAAGGACAAGGAAATATCAATAATAATCTTGGTACTAATGGTGGTGGTTACAATGGTGGTATTGATAGCTGAGATTAAACCAGGCAGCAAAGCAGATTATGATGATAAAAGTGAGGATGGTGGATGTATTCACAGAAACAGTGAAGAAATCCGTAGTATTCAGGCATCTGTTCCGACCTGTCCTTGGGGTTCTGACAGGATATGCTCTCAGCTGCAGCCACTAAGAGCACCACCTGTGTACATCCCTCCCTCCTCTCTCCTGCTGCTCCTTGTCCCTGGAGGCTGGTCCCACCCCTCCCCTTTCCCCTTTTTATGATCCCTTTCCCTAAAGAAAAATCTCTCTGCTTAAACCCTCTCTCAAACCACTTTTCTTCAATTACAACAGTAATACCAACGGAGGTGATGAGTGATGAAGCCAGCTGAAACAGGATTCAAGATGATGGTAATGATTGTAGGGGAAGTTACAGAGAAGATAATGGAGCACCGGTGGCAGGGGTAGGGGAGTGGGAGCCATGAACCAGTGATGACAGTTGCGATGTAACCGCTTAAGGTAAAGCCAAAGAAGGAGATGATGGTGGTGTGGCGGAAAAGACGGGCATGGAGGCAAGGAAACTACAATGGAGGGGAGAAAAGGGGTTGAAGGCATTGGCGTTGTTGGTGGAGGCGGTGGGTGGGGACAATGTCTGCAGGGGAGGTGGGGAAGACAGAGGGAGGGAGGGAGGGAGGGAGGGGGGAGTGAGGGAGGGAGGGAGGAAGGAAGGGAGGGAGGGAGGGGGGAAGGGAGGGAGTGAGGGAGGGAGGGAGGAAGTTGTGAAGCAGACGGGATAGAAAGGGGTTCCAGGAACATGTGAGTCTTGAACCAGAATGTTCTAGCTTGTAAAACTCAGGTAGAGGAGACAGACAGGGCATTCCAAGCTAATGAAATGTTAGTGAGAATTTTCAGGGGAGAAAAAGTTGGTTATAGATAACAATGTTTAATTATTTTATTAAGTGTTTTATTACTTACAGGGATTTCATGTGTATGTTAAATAACCTATCTTTACATAAGTAACCTGTATATATGAACTCTTTAATTGTCAAAACCTTTTGAAAGAAATAACACTAAGCTCCATTTTAAGGGAAAAGTCATCCAAAAGAAAAAAAGAATCCAAAGAGTACCCCAGAGAAATTATGTACGGATGGCAAAAGAGATTAAATTTTGGAAAATTTTGACACTGACTGCATGAAGGTAGAGAGTTAGGAAAGTTTTATAGTGGAAAAATGCTTTGTGTTAGAGGTATGGAAATTTTTAGAATACCTTCATCCAAAAGTTTTCAATGAACAGGTGGCAGGGTCTAATAAAAATATTAGTCACTCAGCAAGATGGTGAAACCATCCAAAAGAATGTCAATTCTACTCTTTCACACTGTAGTTTGTTTCTTACTCAGAGGATAACAACACTGTGTCCCATCTGAATTTTTTCACTTAGCAATGTATCCTAGATTCCTTGTGTGATCCTTGTATCTGGAAAACTAGTGTAGAAAACTAGTGTGTTAAGATGAAAACTCTAAAACAAAACAAAGACGATAGTGTTTCCTGGAACTCACTGCGTATGTGTTCACAGAGACTTCCCTCAGCATTTGCCCCCTTTCTTCCCAGTTTCCAAGACGCAGGGGCGGGCGTTTCCTCATTATGTGTCACTTGTCATTTGACTTCGTGGATGGTATGTTCTGTGACAGGACCTATTCTCAGAGAACAGAGAAAACTGCAGGTAGAAAGTCTCCAGTGTTTTCTCAGGATCTCAGGCTTAACTCTCTCCCTCCCCCAGTCAAGAAAACAATCCAAAAAGACAGAAGAGAAGAGTTCCTGAGCTGGGAGGAAAACAATCCAATGCACAGAAGAGTCCTTGAGCCAGGGAGCTAGGGAAACCAGGAGAGCTGATGTGGTTCTGGCTTCCACATCTCTCCTCAGCCAGAGCTCAGGTCAGTTATAGAGAGGTTTGAGAAAGGCCTCCAGGGAGAGACAGAGGTCAGGTGGGTCTGCAGAACAGTTTATTCAGTGGCTGGAAATTCCTCCCACCCTGGCCCTGGACTCTCAGTGAGCAGAGCATTCTAGACTCCAGCAGAAGGAGGCATGAGAGATTTCAACCACAGCCAGGGAGACCCTGAGTCACTGCCTCTGGGGAGACCCTCTACAACTCCCTGAAGCTGTGGGCCTTTCTGCACTACTAGGGGAAATAAACCAAGTATGGGGGGGGGATCAGAGACACTAGCCACTTCAGTGAACTTTGAGTGTGTTCAAAACATGAAAGCCAACATCCACACAAATTGCATGGCAACTGTTGCTACGCACTGGCCCTTACAGGCTCTATAGTTTGAACAACATGGAAGTTCATTTTTTTCTTTTCTTTTGAGATTGTCTCATCTAGCTCCAAACTTGCTGTGTAGCTAAAGCTAACCTTGAACAAGTCTTCCTGCCTCTGGCGCCCAAGTGCCAGGATTATAGGTGTGTGGCACCATCCCAGCCAAAACTTCCTCTTTTTTTGCGGGACAAAAAAAAAATCAAATTCTAACAAATTCACTCAACCCCATTCCACTACAAGGGAATGATCTAGGTGCTTTCAGGTGTCCTAAGCTCATCTAATGCTCACAGTCACTCTATGGGAGGGTGACACTGCTGAGGAAACCAAGGCTCAGAGACGTGAAGCTTGGCTTCAGCCGCTTCCTCCTCTCTCCTTTGTCAGGTTGGCTGGTCCTCACTAACGACCCACAGAAACCAGGAAATGACCACCTCTGAGAAGAGAAAGCAGGTTAATACCCAGTGAATAGCTACTCTGCTTGATACATTGCGTAATTTATCATCGTGGGCCCTTGCCATGAACTGACTGTTTATGTGCCTCCCAAATCCTCGGGGCATGCTTACCCTCCAGTGCTGTGGTGTGATGTGGTGGGGTCTCCAGGAAGGAATTTGATCACAATGGTGGAACTCCTTCCTCAGGAGAATCTCTTTCTCCTGGCCAAGTGAGGATGCAGAAAAGACCACCCTCCACCATGCAGGAAGGAGACCCCTGTCGTGGTATCTTGTTCTGTCAATAGACTTGAGGTGATAACCACACCTTAGGTTGTGACTTCAGAGTATATGGCTGTGACCCCTTATGAGGAAGAGGAGGGGCTGGCTTGCTCTGTCTTGGGTTGTGGACGGAGCATCCTGAAGGGCAGAGGCTGTGTCTCCAGGAGGAGAAGACCGCGACGGTTATTTAACCATCATTGTGTGAATGCCTCCCAAATAAATACCTGTTAATTCTTTATCTGGGTGTTCCTGGACTTCCTTTAGCCCACCTTCAGACCCCCTCAGATCCTTCTGTGCCTATGCCTTGGCTTTGTCCTTCCAAACCTCCAGAGAGTTATCTGCTCCTCAGTCAGGAGTATCTGATCCTTCCAGCCCTTACTAAGACCCCCTTTTTAGAGTGCTGCCAAATTAACCCCACTTCAGAAGTGAGGAAACAAATGCCCAGGCTTTAGGGAGCCTGCCTGTGGCCACTCAGCAAGAAGCAGAAACCCCAGTTACAAACCCGAGTGATTCCAACAGGTGGTCCCTCCTACGCTCCATAGGCTTCACCTTGGGAAGGCAGGCACTCCATCCAACAACAGTGTCTATCCAAAAACAGTGCTGTAGCCCACATATCCTCTTGGGAAACTATCTCTAGAGCCAGGAAAAGCAGTCTCATCGCTACGTGGCTGTGTTTGCTGGTTAGCTTCATGCCTTCTCCCTTTCTTCCTGGAGAATCAATATTAAAACAGACAGACTAGGGCTGGAGCAGCAGGGCTTGAGTCTGCTTGCCTGCTGTGTGATCTTGGGAGATCTGCTTAAGCCCTCCCTGCTTCAGTTTCCACCTGTGTGTAACTTTGGACAAAGGGTGTTCCTGCTGTATTTTTCTTGAAGGGTTGAAGTGATAAATTAAGGTGATTAACCAGATAAAGTGCTGAGCAGAATACTATGACCCAGAGGACTTAGTAAATATTGTCAGTTTCCCCCTTTCCAGGGAAGCCTAGATGAGCCCTATTTCCTCTCCTTTCTGTTCCCCAGAATCCTAAGGATTTTATCATATACGGACACACCTGCAGCTCATTCTAGCAGACCAGGAAGCCTTCTAGAACATTCTCTTTGTGGGCTGAGGGCGTGGCTTTGCTCACTTGGGTAGAGTGCTTGCTCAGCATGTAAGGAGCCCCAGGTTGGATCCTAGCACTGCAAAAAATTGAGTCTGGTGCCACACGCCTCTAATGCTGACACTTGGGAAGTGGAGGCAGGAAAATCAGGTCATTCTTAGATACACAGAGACCTGAACCAGCCTGGGTTACACGACACTCTGTCTCAGAGAAGACCAAATAAGGAAAAAAACAAAACAACGTATGCCTCATCTTTGGCAAAGAATGAGGGAGGGCCAGATAGCAAGCAGCTCTTTTGAATTTTAAAACAGCAACCTTTTCCATCATGAAATTTTTGAGCAGGAGCTAGGTTGGGTCCTCCAGTGTGGTGGCCTCACCGAGTCTGTGAGTATCCAGCCTCTCCCAGGAGAAAGAGCATTTGCATGCATAAATTCTAATCGGTGGTTTTTCAAATCACTGCTTCTTTGTGTTCCCCACAGTGCCCTGCACACAGTAGGAGATCAATAAATAGGTGTTTATTTATTGAAGTCCTCTAGAGCTTCTGGGTTCACAAACAGAAACCAGAACCCAAGTCTCCCCCCGGCAGGCCAGGTCTTGGTACATCTGGGCACACAGATGACCATTCACCGGCCCATCCCTCTGGGAATAGTGTCCGGCCTCTAAGCAGGGTTGCTTGAAAGGGGTCCATTATCTCCTCTGAGTGGGGCCTCAGATGCTGCACAGGGAGGGTTTCTTTCTCAACTGCCTCACTTGACCTTTGGGCTTAACAGGCAGTGGGTAAAACCCAGCAAAGGCCTGCAGCAAATGGCCTTCTATTCCCCCAGCTCTGTTGGAATTCCTGGGCTCTTGGAAAAGCTTAGAACACTGTAGTCTTTGGCTCCTTCCAGGTGGATAGGGGATTCATGTCCGCAAGACCTTGTGGGGGGAACCCAGTGAATACATTATCTGGGTCGTCTTTCTTGTATATGACTCTCCATCATAGCAGAGGCGGTAACAGGGTAACAGTCAATTCCCTTAAGTTGTAGCAAGTGTTGACAAATTAGTGTGAACACTTGTGATGCCCAAGCACAACACCAGGTTCTTCCTGGGTCACATTCGACCTCTGCAGGCAGGGGCACCTGGGAGTCAAGTAGCTGCTGTCACCTTGTAGCCCATTGTGGTGGAGGTGAGACTGACAGAGCAGGGTTCAGATGGGGGGAGGCTGCCTAACAGAAAGACTGGGACTCCTGAGGATTGCAGACCAACCGGTCTCAAGTGTTGCTTTTCATATCTCATCCCAAATTGAAACATCTTCTAAAAGCCATTTAACACAGACCACACAGTGCCCAGGCCCTCGATCCCATCAAAGGCATTATGACAGTCAAGGATTCAGGTTCAGTAGGGTGGTGAAGGCTCGGAGGATAAAGATACCTGCTGCCAAGCCTGAGGACCTGAGTTCAAGATCTCCAGGACCCACAAGGTAGGAGAGGACTGATTACTCAAAGTTGTCTCCGGCCTCCTCATATGTGGCACATACAGGTACAGAAACAACTTAAAATAAAACCATTTTTAAGAAGTTAAAAAAAAAGTTTAGGCTCCAGGACAAAAAGATTCCAGTCCAATATGCAAATTTCCTTGTACTAAATAAACAACCTTGAGCAAACAAGGGGCTATTCCATTTTCTCATTTGCAAAACATTAGCAATACTACCAGGTAAGGCTGGACAGGAACAGCTCAGGAGGGAGCATCCAGTGAGCACCCCACAAGTACTACCGGCTGCCGTGGTACCAAATGCTAAGACAGGGAAATGCACAGTTGTCACGGGAGTCATTGAAGTCATGTAGGCAGGAGAGAAATGGGAACACAGCCAGTAGGAAGGAACAAGATGTGGATAGAGAATCCAGCCTGTGGTCTTACACTCAGACAGCCCCAACCCCAGAGTCTCCGATCCTGCCTTCCCCACCCCCACCCACTCCTAGCCTACTCAGCAAACAGTATCAGCCTGGTGGCTCAGGATTCTGTAGCCTGGATGTGAACGTGAAATCTTGCCTGAAGGCGCTGAGCAAAAATAACAAGACTCAGCGAGAAATAGCAGATCTGCCCTGATTTCCAGTGGGGCGCTGGTTTTCCTCTTGGTCTGCAGTGGGTGCCTGATGTTGCATATTGCTCCTCTCTTTCCTGGGGTCCCGTTTTTTGACCTCTGTAGCACCTTGTCCCTTTCCGTGAAGGAGTGCCATGGCAAACGCCACACGTCCAACCTTCTCAGAGCAACTGTTCTGTTTAATTTGTAGGCAAGGGACGCTGAGGTGCTCAATAGATGGATGCTAAGAGTAGAACTGAGTGGATGAATGCAGCTTGCATCCCAAGCAGGTGGAAGTAAGGTACCAGGTAAGATGAGGACTTAGGCAGAGGGGTGTCTTGCTTGCTGCCTGTCTTTAGCAAAAGACTCCTTGGCTTGTGTCGGGTGGGGGATTATGCGTAGAAACAGGAGGGAAGGAATACTACGTAAGGCTATTGCCAGTGTAACACCCCCCACCACCCCACACCAAAACAAACACCCGCAAACCCCAGGCACAAACAGCCTGTCAGACAAAGAGTCTGGCCAAGGTGTGACCTAGGGCTGCCCAGGCTGGTTACTGTAAGAAACCCGGTGAGAGGCGGGGTACCTATGTTCATCCCTGCCCATCCCTGACCTACTGCAAAGGTGACTGTGACTCGGCTGGCCACCTTTACTGCTTCTGTGAGTAGCAGTTGTCCATAACTCACACAGAGAATGTCTCTCTTTTCTCTTTCCTACCCAACGACCCCAACTGCAGGAGCTCCAGGCCTCAGGCTAGAAGCCTGTCCTTATGAGATTCCAGTCGAGCTGGGGCCCCAATTCGGAGGGAAAGCTCTGAGTCCACCGAGTCCGCGGCTAGCTGCACGTCCCCTTATGGGCGTGGTGCGGACACCCGGCTCCACGATCCCAGCCTGCAGGACCCTGGGAGGTCTGAGCTCAGGGCAGCATCAGAGGAGCACGGAGCAGGACAAGGGCAGGCTTTGTGCATAGCGGCGGGACTGCGAGTCCCCTGACAGGGTCCTAGCCCTGCCCTGCAGATTCCTGTGGTGCCTCCTGGCAGTGGTGGCCTCACCACAGTCCAAGACCGCCCCTTTCTCCCGGAGCAGAAGAAAAACCAAGAAGGGAGAGAAGAGCGCTGACCTCGCTATGCTTTGGACATAGTCTTGCTTTTTTGAGAAGGCAAAAGTAGGGACCCATTTTGCAGTCACTTAAGGGAGCCTGGTCCCAGCTCAGCCTCCCAATGACCCTCAGGAATGAGGGGCCGCACCTGGCACACCTCAGAGCCAGTAAAGCTAAGCCGGTGAGGATTCTGAGTGCTGAGCTCGCCCCAGGAGTGAGAGGATAGAAAAGGGTCCCTTCACCCCCAAGAGACCCTGGTTTCAACCCACATCTACCCAGTGCTGCAGGAATCCATGGCTATATCCAACCAGACCCACTTCCTGGTTCTGGACACAATATGACTCAATGTGATCTTGGGAATCGAGTAGCTAGACTGTTCCCTGGGAATGTCTCAGACGGAAGGAAAATGTCCGTAGAGAAGTGTGTGACCTTTAAGGAGGGCAATTTGGAGACACGTGGTAAAGTCTTAACTTTTTTTCTCTCCTTTCAAGCAGTCATTTCAAGAATTTTTTCCTCAAAAGCCAATTATTAAAGTTCACAGAAATAATTGCCTACGGTATTAGGTATACCAGAACTACTAAGATGCTGGCAGGAGAATGCGGTGTAGACTTACAAATAATAGGCACAGGAAAGGTGTCAGATATCTCGCGAAGCGGGAAAGCATAAAACACAACACACATTTTCTGCTGAAGATCTCTTGCTGGTTTCAGTGATGATAGTCACCCGCTAAGCTCATGATAAGACCAAAACCAAAGGAGCCAGAGTTCCCAAAGATACACCCCCAGCACATGCCCAGAGTTTTCTTAATGAGAAAGGACATAAACCTAGTTGGCACACCAAGTATGATTTAGAGGGAAAGCTTTAGAAGAGACAGAACAAACTAATAGAAGACAGAGAAGGAAAAATATAGTGTATAAGGCAAATGTGGTTGCCACTTTGCTTTCCTGAAAAATAAAATAAAACAAACAAAAACATACAGGGG